TGCAACCCCTCGCAGACCCCCCACCACAGACACACCAGACAAACATACCGCACACCGCCCCCAGATCTACTCCTTTCTCTTTCCTTTCTCTCTGCATTCTCATCCTCTCTCTCCTTCATCACACCGACACTCCATCCACCTACTTCAGCAGCCCGATTCCACGCATGCCCACGCCCCACGCCCCTTCCCGTAGGATCTCTGGCAAGGTGCTGGACGCCCTGAACCGAACGATCGGACCGGGCGGGGAAGAACCTCTCCAGTCACCGCTGTTTAAACCCATCCGTATGTGGGTGGCTGCCCCATAACGATGCTGGTACACCTCAAACATTCCCCACCACGACTAAGTTCGTGTCCCGGCGCAGCTTCCTATTTTTCAGTTTTTCAATATACCCCCGATACAAGGCCTTGGCGTGAGTGGGGCGGTCGCTCGGACTCAAATTTCGGCCGTGTGGACGAGTTTCTCGTGCCATTTTGAAAGAGAGGGTATATGGTTACTGTGGGGTGCTTCTGTTATGTTATATATGAGGGTGGTATTCTTATCCTTTATGATAGTTACAATGGTAATAAATAATAGAAAACTCGATGATGAAAATTCGTCAATAAAAATATATTGTTTAAATAAATTAAAATAAATTAAATCAAAAAAGATTTTTCTCTCTCTAAAGATAAAATTTTAATAAATAATATACACGAGATTTTTTGCAGCAGCAGCTTTTTAAATGGAATGTCCACGAGAAAAAAAACTTCTGTGCATGACCTAAACCACATAAAAAATAATTCTCAACTACAGAAGACTGCCGGTTATAACATAAATATAAACGACTATAATAATAATAATATGATAATGGTAATAATAATGATGTTAATAATATCGATAATCGGTAGTCCAAGACCTTCACTGTATATAGGTTTTTTTCGAGTAATTCTTATATTTATCCAATGTATAATGTTGTTTGTTTGTATCTTCATTTCTTAGATCGAGTATTGGTCACGTTGATATTCCTGCACTATGGTCATTTGTTCTAATTATTGGTTTTGTTTGTTTTTGTTTTAATTTATTATCTATTTTAGTTATATATTATATTATTATTTTGTTTTATTTATCATTTATTAATTCAAATCTTTGTTTAATATTCCTTATTATTTTAATTATTAAAACCCAAATACAAAGGAATTCATATGATTATTATTTTATTAGTTAATTATTTATTTAGTTTTTATTTATTATTTATTGCAAATCAATATGTAATTATTTTTGTTTTATCCATTACTTATTATTTTTTTTTAATTTACTGATTATTAATTTATTTTGAATCTCTTCAATTCATTCCATTATCGCTTCTTTGTCTTCTACTCGGTTTATTTTTTCTCCTTGGTTTCTCGTTTTCCTCCTTCTTTCCTTTCTTCTTCCTTTTGCCTTGTCCTTGTAGGCGCAGGGAGTCGGCTGGAATGGCATTAGTGTATGGGGAGATGCAGCCGGCATGACTGAGACCGCACACCGTCTAGTCACCTCTTAACCCGCTCACACTCGGGTGCAACCCCGCCTACGCCACCGTTCATGTTTATGTGAGTGTTTCTCATCTTGGTCAAATTTATAAAGGGTTTAGAAACGAACTTGTAATAAAAAAAAGATACTTTGAATTATTGTAATGTGGGAGAAATTAATGTGAGTGTCCTCATCAGTTATATGTTTCAGTGTGAATTTATCGGTGGGTGATAGGTGCCTCTTGCAACACTCTTAGGTCAACTTTTTATAAGATAGGTGATGATTAGCGAGTTTCAAACAGTGGTTTAAAAACTTGTATTGTATTTAACCCTTTTGCCTATATATAATGTTATGAATTATGTGAGACCTTGTTCCTCCATCTTGTTCACCATGTTAATAGGCGGTATTTAATAGGCTTATATGTGTATTTAAGTAAATTGAAAACAAACCATGTACATATATTCTCAAATTCATTATAATAGCGCGTTGGTAGATAACTTTTATACAAATTCCCACATATCATACAGGTGTAACTTGTATAGTACCCAATTTTTAATTAAATTTAAAAATGTAGTGAAAAAACTTACTATAAAGCCGTGTAGATAACTATATATATTATTATAATTTTATAGGTATATAAATCTTATATAGTAATTAATTTTTATGTGAATTATGTGAGTGTCCTCATTTCATGTCTAATTTTATTCGTCATATCGGGAGTTAATTAAAACTTGTATATCGTAATTCAATCCTAAATGGTGTTAAACTGTATATTTTAAATTTTAAATAATGTTTGAAATTTTACAATGTGAGTGTCCGTTCACATCTCCTTGTCAAATTTCTAGGTTTAAAAAACATTTATAGTATTTAAATTGTAAATGTGAAAAAACTCAATATATTCTCAAAATTATACTAAAAGCGGTAAAGTAGATAACTATTTATATCCTCATTAGTGTAACTTATATAGTATTTAATGTAAATGTGAAACTCAATTTTCTAGAATATTATATAACTTAATTTTCGCCATATGGTCTAGCAGATTTAAGCTAAATATTAGCTGTGATTCATTGATTATTATAGTTTATGAGCTTTCTCATTTCTGGTCGCGTCCGCGCTTATTATTTCTCATAGCGCCTAATTATATATTTTAAATCCAGATCATTGTCATGCTGTACTAATTGGTCTTATTTCCAAATTTGTCCTTTTCTCAAAAAATGGCCCGCCAGTGGCAGCTGTTTTCAGGTTATTTTTCTTACCAATGATGAACAAATGATAAATGAGGAATGTATTTAATTAATCCACGTTTTTCCGGGTCTGGGGGAATAAACGTTTGGATAACGTACGGAGCATTCCGAGATTCGAAAAGGCCTGCCATAAATTTTCAAGATGGCGACCAAAATGACCGGTATGAAAATGTCCTCCATCTTGAGAGGGATGATTTCGGTTTCAAAATTTCATATTTCGGCTCTACGGATGAAGGGAAAGTTAGAACTCTTAAATTTCACGGCTAGCATAACAGTTATAAAATTAAAAACCATTCAATAATTTTCCGGGAAGAGCACACTAGCCCACCTGTTACAGGGTATTTAAGCTGGCATCAAAACCGCTGGCATTAATTAGTTTTATAAATGAGACAGAACAAATATGCAAATCTGCTCTTCCTTTCTTATGGCCCTTGACATGTTGAGCTGTCCACTGAACTCACAAATTCCACAAGCCGCGCTTGTAATAACAGTGATTTTAGTTTAAAGTTCATTTAATACCTGTCAAACGTTAGCTTCACATGCCCAATACTTCCTACCAAACAGCTTTCCCTCTCCCCTCTTACGGCTCTGCCATATTGAACATGAGAGGTTCGATTCAGTACCATGTGCCGCAGCACGGGAACCACAAGGCAAGAGTAACAGAACTTCCCATTACCAAATTTAACCTTGATCGTGTGAAATCAACACAGGAATTAATTTTTACAAACCCGGACTCGGAGTGAATAAGGACTCCGGCACTAAGAATTTTTTTATCAGGTATTAACGGCCTTCCCCGGCTATGGCGCTCTTTGGGTTTATCCCATACCGCTTAAACATGTGGTGGTCTCATCCGAGTAGAAAGAGTATGGCCTAAAAACTACGCTGTGACTAAAAAATAGGTAGCACTACTTTAGGAGCTTAAACCAATGTTTATCGCCATGATCAGTACTTGACGAAAAAAGATCTGTGCTTAGTATTTATGACCTGTCGTTAACCATCTCAGATTTTGATACGCAACCTTGGTTGACTCTGCTATCGGTCGAGAAAGGTCCAGATCATCTAATGAAATAATTTTATAATTTGAGTCCGGAAAGTAATATCTGGGCCTGGGTTTTCGTGATATAAAAGTATAGAAGAGTATGGCTAAAAACTACCTGTGACTAAAATAGGTACATAAAACCGATGAACATTACGAAAATTGTGTTGATTCACCTGTCGTTACCATCTCAGATTTTAGATACCAACCTTTGCTCTCTATCGACCATGACTATTTATATAAAAGTATACGACAGGCATTTTGCATAATCCACATACATCTCATCACTATTACATCTTTTAAAATTCATGACCGCGAGAGAGTAAAAGTCGGCATCACCCCCACTGAGATGCTATCGAGAGATGAATCAACAAGCCATTCAAAAGGTGTTCATCTCCTTTGTACACTCTGGAGGACGAGGTTTGTACATTTCAACACAGTATGGACTTCTGTTTGGATTATGCAAGCTATTGAAAGGCAACATAAGCCTATATAGAAGAGACAGGCCGATTTTCAAGCTAGTTGACCTTGCACCGCTTTGCAGGTCATGCACAGAATAAGTTGTAGAAGTTCATGATAGAATTTGCTTAACCTGATTGGAGAAGAGCCGGATGCAGGCGAGTCCGGCTGTGACCTTGTCTCCTGGAATCACAAGGATGCGATATGCACAGAAATGCTGCCTCAGATAGCGTCAGCGACTGTGAAGGGAAGTGCTGAAGCGTTTCCTGAAAAGTTCCAAATTCGAATTCTGTATCAAAGAAAATGAATGATTCAACATTCAAGCTATTGAACAACTGTGTCGATGTACCATTTACAATTACAGACATGAGCGCCATCTTGAAAATGTTCAGCGACTTGTGTGCATCATTCAAATGGTGATTCCCATGACCTATGATACAATACAACTTGTTAACCATTTCATATCCATCAGTTGTCGCTGGCGGCCATTTTGAATAATGACTACCCACCCACCTAATCATAATGCTTAATACTTTTCATAATGCGCTTTTTATCACACATTTTCAAGAAATCCCGGCCATACTACTCCCGCTACACCATAAAAATACATAAAAGAAAATCAATCAATGTAGCAGTTCAGCTCGACGTTAAATGGCAACCGTTTTACCGATACAAAACCTTTCTTTTGTAGATGAATGACGTGGAAGAAGGCGGCCGGACCGTGTTCCCGAGGGCGAGGGTGGGCGTGGAACCGAGGAAAGGAAGTGCTGTGTTTTGGTGGAACTTACTGCCCACCGGAATGTCGGACTTCAGGACCCTGCATGGGGCGTGTCCCGTCATTCGAGGCACCAAGTGGGGTGAGTGGGAATGGGACTGCGAGGCTTGACTGGAATAATGTCCTCTTCTTGTTTTGTGTTTTACTTTTAGTTTTCTCTTTCTTCTTCTTTTCCCCTTTTCTATTTTACTTTCTTTCTTCTTTTGCCCCCCCCCTTCTTTCTGTTTGTTTACTGGTTTACGGTTTGGTGGTAGTCTTCGGTTGAGAAAAGTTATTTTTTATTCTTTCATTTTTTTTTCTCTCAGTATTGGCCATAAGTTGAAGTAGGTTGGAGAGCATAAAAGGAGTCTTGATAGAAAGCTCTGTTTGTGTGTGTGTGTATGTGTGTGTGTGAGTAAGAGTGAGAGTGAGAGTGAGAGTGAGAGTGAGAGAGAGAGAGAGTGGGAGAGATTGCGTGTGTGCGTATGCGTGTGCATGTGAGTACGTGCCAGTGAGAGAGAGAGAGAGAGAGAGGAGAGTGGGCTGTGTGTGATGCGTGTGCATGTGAGTACGTGCCAGTGGCGCGTTTGTTTGGTTATTTGTCTCTCTTTTTATCTGAACTTTTTTTCCGTTAATTCTTTCTTACTCTCCCCCTCCAACAGTACTTTAAACATTACCGTTATCCCTTTTCCTCCTCTTTCAACAGTGTCCAACAAGTGGATCAAACACCACCCACAGCTCCACCGACGTCCGTGTCCTGTCATCTAAATGTGGATCCCTGTCTGGCGTGGCCATAAGGCTCATGAACCTTTACATATATACTTTATGTTCTTGTTATGCAAATGTATATGTCTACATCTTGTGTGGGTTGTTGGGTTCATGAATTTATTTCTGTCTGGCGTGGCCATAAGGCTCATGAACCTTTACATATATACTTTATGTTCTTGTTATGCAAATGTATATGTCTACCTGCTGGTAGTTTTATTATCATTATGATTATTATTGTTTCTGTGGTAAGTATTATTGTTAAAAGGCTTTTTAAGTATGATTTTTTTTAGTATAGGTGGAAAAAATGCTGCTGATGTGGAAATTATTTCTATTCAGAATAGAAAAAAATAGGTTCAACTCACAGGTGCAGTACTTTACCATGAACAAATGTATTTAAATGAGAGCATTAAGACCTTTATTAACAGTGAATAAACATATTACTGGTTAATGATACAAAAGTTGTGAGTAAAGGTCTAAAAGTGTGAAATTATCCTAATGAAATCACCAAAAAGACTGAATGAATAAATAATACTGGTACATTCACTAATTGTTTTTATACATCACAATGCACCTTCTTCAAAAGGCTGTTACCTTTTATCTACTTGAAAAATAATAATCTGAATTATTGTATTCAAAAATGTTTTATAAACAAATGTAAAAGTCAATATATTTGAAGTAAATACCTGGATAATTTATTCCATGTTTAATCACTGAAATATGTACTAAGTTCCCTACTATGCCAAAGATAAGGTGATAATACATATGAAAGTATAAATATAACTTTATTTCTTAATCTGCCTCAGTAATTAACATGATATACAGCCACAGTTCATTTCTTTTCAACAAATACAATTATCTATGTACACCACAAAATGTAATGGTCAAAATAAATATTCTTGAAGCTTAAAATCCTCTGGCAGTTTTTATACAAACAGTAGCTTTTATAGGGTACAAGAAAGCAACTCTTGAGGTATAATGACACGTCAACTTTGTATCTCAATAGTAAATGAATCTTTGGCACATGATCTGCTTAATGATTAGATCTCTTTGACTATGACTGACAAGGTAATCTTACATCATAAAATACAGTGCAATCCATTTTAAAACATTTTTTATGACAAACAAAAAGAACCGTATAGTCAACCTTAACTTACTGAATAATGAAAGGAAATAACCTTGGGCTTAATATTACCGTGCTATGCAACATCACAAACAACATGCAGTCTCTATACAAACCATTTGTTAAACTAATCTCAAAGATCTGGTTGTTCTGGTGACTCTAGGTTCTGTCTCCTTCTTCACCCTGGTCCTGGAGGAGGTTGGCTTTGTTTTGGCTTCATCTTTGGGAACCCGAGACTTTAACTTCCTGGTTCTTGGTTGTACTGACTCTGTGTTATCGTCTAGACTGATTTCCATGTCGTCGCTACCTTTCGAAGCATTCTCCAGTGAGTTATCCTTGTCTGAGAAAGTAAGCGTTTTGGATACTGTCGACTCTTTTGCCTTTCTGATCGTCCTCTTTTTCCCTGGTGCTCTTGATGCTGGTGACACACGAGCATCTTCACCTTTGTTTTCTATACCTTTCGAAGATCTCGAGCTTTTGGGACAGGGGGAGATGGAGAAAGAGTTTGGCACCTTCAAAACCAGTTTTGTTGGGCTATCATCCAAAGCTAGCTGCCCCAACTTTGCCTCTACCCCAGCCATATCCTTCTTTCTTTGGGCAGCGCTTTCTGTCCTGGTGTTCTCTCTCTTAGTGACCACCTGTCTCTTATACACTCGTGTCGGTTTATTACTCTGAGGTGGTGGCGTGGGGGCCCTAGAAGGCTTTGTTGAAGTTTCCTGTGTATCTTCATCATCACTGTATATGCTGAAATATTTCCCTTCCTTGATGAGAGTGCTGGGCATGGCGAGAGTTTTCTGGCCTGTTTTAATGGCAGACTTAGCTGAGATTTTTGCCTGAGACCTTGCTGGTGTTTTGTAATCATATATGTTTTTCTTTTCATCTCCATTTGGGGTTACAGAACTCTCATCCGCAGCTTCATCTATTGGGATAAATACAATAAATGAATAACTGAATAATTAGCTCAAGTGAACTAATTAGTATTTAAATGAAAGTATTGAGTGAAACAAGTCAATGAATATGAATGAAGGGGACTGAAAAGAACAAGTAAGTTCCCTTGTCACATTGCTTCATATCTGGAAATGAATCCAATACCATATGAAGATTACTTGAGTATATGTATAATTTCTACAGTCAAATAAAATTCATAGCAAATAAAGCCTTTATAATCTGCATCTGGTATAACAAATCTGGTTTCAACTATGATCACATTTAAAAGAAAAACAACTAAAGATCTTACCACCACTTTCAACACTTTCCATCTGATGTTCTTGTGTTCTCTTCAAGATCTGGCCTTGTAGTATGATAACAGTGATAAAATGCATGTTTTGATGTAACATCTGTCAAAAAAAGAGATGTACATTAAAACAATTAATTTAATAATCAAATTATATTCTAAGCATTATGAAACACGCTATCTCCATGATACTCGCTTTATTCACATATATAATGCAAATTTCAGACTTCACTGTATCTGAGATGATATCCCAATTTTATATAATGATATATTATTATTGTTATTATTATTATTATTATTATTATTATTATTATTATTATTATTATTATTATTATTACTATCATTCTAAATACTACACAGGCACAGTTTTTTCCCCTGCTTTGGTAGTTTCAAGAAAATCCTCATACTGTACACATGCATGCACAAAAATCAAGTATTCAAAACCACTTACATGTGAATCTAGTGATCTAATAATTTTGAGAGCTTTCATATTGATAAGTAGAGCCTGGTCCCATTTTTTCTCCAGTGCAAGGCTCTCTGCATGGTGGTGCATAGACTGAAGATACACCTGGAAGAATAAAATCAGATTAATAAAATGGTAAATATTGGTATTCCTTGGGAGTCAATTATATAAGAAGGTATGCATGCCAAAAGATCTTATCAGACTAAGCGCTCAAAATACATTTATTAAATGTTTGTTTAACATTTCATCTATAGCAAGTTCACATAAATACAATATGATCATGAGATTGCAGTGCATTAATGTGAACATACTAATCTGAGAACACCTTTGAATGTACATGCCCTCATATGACCACCGTATGCTTGACCCATTAAAAGATAAAATGGGTGGCATCAAATCCTCCAGTATTTACATCATGAAGTATGTAGATTTAAGCTCTCAAATTACATCTTATAGGAAACCCTTACATACTATAATATAACAAATATGCTAGCACTTACTAGATTCAACCTTGACTGAAGAAAAGTGGCAAATGAGGTACTTTTCTTGCTTCTGGCACTTATAATTGACATCAGATAATTGGTGAGAAAAGCCGCTTTTTCTGTGATATCATCATACATTTCCATAGCCTGCAACATAATATATTCAAGATATAGAGCCATATATCTTGATTTTTTATATGTGGACAAATTTTTTAAAATAATATCAAAACTTTTTTATAGAAACAAAACCTGCTGTGAGAATTTTTTAAAGCACTAATACAGATATGTCTCTGGTATACTACCTGTCCTACTAATAAGAGTTGTACATAAACTAGTGTGTCTTTTTGCCACAGAACTCTAGTTTCACTGCTTACAAACTTTAAAAGTAATGAAATTACAAAAAGAAGCTTAATTTCCATGGGAATATGCATCCATCAAGTATTGGATTTCAGTGAATCTGAAAACAGTAGGAAATAAATATCTGATTATATCTGCATCTATATAGCCATATGGCATGAATGGATTGATTTTAGATGACACTGGACATGCATACAGATGGATGTTAAATGGGGAAACACCCTTTTTTAAACATCCACAGCTCCCCTTCCATACACACACTAACTCTCGCTCACACACCTTTCACTTTCTCACACGCTCACACTCTTTCTTTGAGACTGAATTTGCTTACCCTCTTGAAACATGTTTGCGCTGCTATGTGTTGTCCATTATGGGCATGAACAAGAGCCAGGATTATTGCTGTGGATATGTGGAGTTCCTGCAGAGCTGGAGTAGAGCACATGACACACTTCACTTGCCCATCTGGGCAGGATTCCACTCGTACTAGAGTAACATCTTCCCGATACCTCATTGAAGGGGACACTGGCTGCCGTGGGTGTGCCAGTTCACCTATGCGCTCCTCAGCTCCCACCACAACTAGGCCCGGATGGTTGTGGAAGGCCTTCAATTCATACTCTGGAGCTGCGCTGCAATCTCGCATCTTTTCCTCACTGTCAATTTCAATCTCGGAAAGAACCTGACAAGACAGCTTGCCCTCATATGGTTTGGTATTCATGGTAACATGCTTGGCTACTTTGGCATCCTTTGGTAGGTATTCTTGAGCATGGGTTGGGTGGGCAATGAGCAAGGCCAGCAAACTGTCAACCTTAACTCGACAGTCATCCAGCTGGTCACACAGCAAGTCCACTCGAGCCAGTAGCTCCAGCAGCTCTCCCGTCCTGTACAATGGTAATCCGTATCAAAATGCTGACTTACATAATCTAGATTAAATGAATATCTCTATGAGGGAATTTTATAAAAATTCTGAAAGTTCTGGTAAAATCAAAGCTTGTGGTTCAAACACAGCTTTTCTTAGTAAGCACAAAGATTATCTTGAAAGCATAGTTGATTCCTGATAATAATTTATTGCTTTATTAATCATTAGGCAAATCAGTTACAGCATTATCTAATTAGCATCAGTACGTAACTGGCATTTCAGATATCATACTCAACTATTTAGCTTTAAGATATTTCAGACAATTGCCTACTATTGACACTCATATGTACTGTAAAAAAAAAAAAAAAAATATAAAATATATTTATATATATTATATATATATATATATATATATAATATATATATAATATATATATATATATATATATATTATATATATATATATATATATATATATATATATATATATATAATATATATAAAAATATTATACAGCACTTTTCTTGAATTATGAAAACAAATTATATTTCAAAAAAGTTTTATGAAAATATAAA